CCGTATGTAATGCAGTTGCCAAGAATCTTGTTGGAATCCTTTTATACACAACCATCTGCATTTTGTAAGCACTTTTAAATTCTATTCCTTAAGTAAATTAAAATCAAAATTTGGCTGGTATAAATGGACAGGACTGTGCTATTTAAAGCATTGCATCTATCATTTCGTTATTTTAACACTGTTGATGCTATAGGCATTTACACTGTCTCTGTGGTTCTCAGTCTGAGCTGTAAATCATGCTTCCTAATTTCTGGAACTTTGAAAGCATAGCAGCAGTATCGACACTCATGTCAATTCATTCAGTATCTGTAGGCTTGGGTATCTATACCTTGTAAAAACTAAAGGGGTTCTATGTGTTTCCAAGAGTAAGAGCCATTCCTTGTGCGAGAATTCTCAACCAAGCATGGGAAATCCAATGCCCTACCTCTCCTCTCCCTTCAAGCACCTTTCCAAAGGAAACCATCTGTGACAAGTACTCTTGAGCTTGCCACCATCACTTAGGATATTTTTGGAATGCCTTCTTTTTTGTAATTGATTTTGGTTGGTTTTCCAGTCACGATTAGAAAAATTAATGTCACCGTCCACACAAGATGGTGGGAGGAGTCACTGAGCTCAGTGTGTTCAAAAGACTTCTCCTGGCCCTGGTCTATACTATATCCATGGTAGCAAGAAATGGACACAAGCCACTGCAGGCTTCTCGCAAACACACCTGTCTCGGTTTATTAATGCCTAGAATTTAAAATGTAGCTAGAATTAGAACTTATTTCCACTTCCTTCTGGAAAAATCTGCAAAACAACCCAACTGTGCCTTAAGATTTTATTACCTCTTTCTCCTAGACCTACCCCTGTCCTCAGTCTCAGGCCAGCAGGCTCCAAACATCTCCTGCTGATACCCCATCTCTTTGTTGAACACTTCCCTCTGCTTCTTAATATTCCACAAGAACACTGGTTTCTCACACCTACAGTGCATCTTCAAAAACGCTGAATACCTGTGTGATTCAGACTGTGTGATTATAGTTGAGATTGGGCAGAAGTACAAGATATGATGAGGGTATTCTGCATGCTGATAATGGCCTATTGTAACAGCCTCTGCTACAGATCAGGTACCAGACTACTCCTTCAAGGAATGATTAGCACAGAGCTTAGAGTCTGCCAAAACTGACACTGGACATTAACCTCTACAGAGGAATGAATCACAAAGGAAGAGATTGCACCTTGCTTCCCATGCTCATACATTAAGACATGGGTGTTAAGAATAAAGGGGTATAGAAATGCAAAGCGAATAATAGGAATATAGGAGTTAATGAAAGCTAGAGGGAAGTGCCCTTAAGAATTGGTGAGAGCAAAATCAGTTATTCTGAATTTATCTAGAAACAAAACAGTTTGGGCCAGTGAAACTGAGGGCTTTTTAAACACATTGTAAAGCAAGATACAAAGGGAAGGAAGGAAGAGGTGATGTGAAGAGTCTTGAAAGGAGGCCATGTAAAAGTCATAGTTCCAGGACAGTCACAGGCCATTCAGCCCTGACATATGGCCAAACAGACCAAAAAGAAAGCAGACAGAACATCCTAGGACGCATTTCAGTCCACCACCATCCTAAAATAACATCGAGTGAAAAGGAAATAAGAATATGCTGTCGAAGGTACCCCAAAGGCAGAGAAGCTCCTCTCCTGCTAGCTCAGAGAATGGGGAGGGGGGTGTCGGTGATGAGTGAGGCAAAAACAAAAGCATGGAACTTGGTTTGATAAAGGGATTGCACACCAGCTCACCTCCTGCTGAACAGTAAATGTAACTGCTGCAAGTCAGGGGCATCTCCTAAGGAATAAAATTTAGGCAAATTATCTCTTGTTTACAGATTTAGTGATTCAGCTGTCACTGGCAATACCAACAAGAAACACAACATCTTTGTATCACGGTTCGATAGAAGAGGCTGACTGGTGTTTTCATTTGTTTGGCTCTTTGCTTTGCAGGCCTAATTTATAGCTGCTGATTTCGATGGTGTAAATACTCTCACTAGGGATAATTTTAGGCCGACAGCAAGACACCCTGACACAACCCCTGCATATAGCTGTTGTGTACCACAGCCTTCAAAAGTCAGAGCAAGCTGGATCTGAGCTGAGAGTTACCGTGTAGGCTTGGGCTCACACAAGCAGTTTTTAAGAGCCTGTCAGAAGAGTCTCCACACAGGCATATCTGAGATTAGCTGCATACCGTGCCATTTACAGCCTCACAGACATCAGCTGAGGATCTCGGAGAAAGGTTTGCTCAGTAGGTGCCATGGTCTCTAGGAAGGGAGATGGGAGTTTAGTTCTGTGTCAACTTGACACAAGCTAAAGTTGTCTGGGTGAGAGAAACCTTGATTAAGAAAATGCTTCCATCAGACTGCCTGCTGGCAAGTCTGCAGGGGAATTTCCTTGATTAATGAATGACTGATGTGAGGGCTCAACCCATTGGGGGCTGTGCCACCCCAGAAAGATGTTCTTAGGTGATATAAGCAAGTAAAGCAAGCCTACTAGGAATAAGCAGTATTCCTCTCTGCATACTGCTTCAGTTCCTTCCTCCGTGCACAAGCCTTGAGTTCTTGTCCTAACTTTCCTTTATGGTGGACTGAGACCCAGATATGTAAGACAAACAAACGCTCGGCAAGTTGCTTTTGGTCATGGTGTTTTATCCAAGCAATAGAAAGCAAACTAGGACAGGAGAGAAGTGGACTAGTAGGAAAAGCAGTCATCCACAGACTACCACTGTCAAAAAATGATAAGAGAAATGTTTAGAAAATTCATGAGCGTAGAGCTTATGGATTATGTATGACCAAGGCTATACAGGTGCTTTACTCAAATGCATTTTACTCTTTAAATCTGAGTTAGATGCCAGTATCACTTAAAAATCTATATTCATGGTTTCTCTAAGGAAAAGAAAAGGGAAAAGAATTGGAAATAGTAACCTCACTAGAAAATGTAACAGCCCTGCCCACAGCTCTGGAGGAGGCTACACTGCACATCCATGAGGCAGTCTCCCTCCTGCCACTGTCTGGCTCACTTTATCCCTGGAGGCATCTGAGAAGTATTTATATTTTACACTTTTATATAACATTTCTCTCCCCAGTTACAGTAGCCTTCTTTCCTTATTTCCTACCATTTCCCACATATCAGATGTGTATTTATGAAACACCTTACACAGTGTTCTTAAAACATTAGACCTTTCTCTCCACAAACTGTGCTCCTATAGCATAGCCCATTCTCCTCTGTGGAAAATGATCTGAATCATTCTTCAAGACCCAGTTCAAACAGCATAGCCTCAGAAAGCCTTCCCAGCTCCCACATGGACCAAGAGCAAACTGGATCTTCTTCTAAGTATTAAATACATTCTAGTCTCTGAGGCACCACAAGGGACTTTATAAGCTTATCTGTTTTTATGATCTCAAGGAAAAAATGCTTTGCCATGTAGCAGATTCTTAATCACTTTATCAAATGAATAAATTAGGAATTAGTTTTTAGCTCTCATTAATTTGGGTTAGCCTGTGTTAATTTATCAAAGGGATTTTGCAATACTATCCTAACCTATAATATACAAGTTACTTCTCTTTCATATCTATGTCCAATCCTTCTGTAGACCATTTCTTCTCCTCTAAAGTTTTGTGTTTGATCACTCAATATACGGAATATTATTTATTCCATAAGTCTTATCCAATATAAGTAAGAAGAGGCCATCTATAATATTTGTTAATACCTTGTACTTCCATGATATGATGACTTCTTTGGTTTGTTTCTGGGTTTTGAGACAGAGTTTCACCAAGTTGCCCAGGCTAGCCAGAAATATAAACTCTTCCTGCCTCTCTACCTCCCTGAGCAATGGAATTAGAAGTATTTTCTACAGAACCAGGGATCACCTTTTACAAACCACTTTTTCTGACACACTTTATTCTTATACCATCTCTATAAAATATAAGAATAACATTTGACCCTTGGTTAATAGTTGGAAGCTAAAGTGACATATCTTTCCCACAGTAGGAGGTGACCAGAAAGCTTGAGAGAATCCTCAGACTTCCCTCTAAGGGAAGATCTGTGATCTTCCTGAACATCATCCCTCAGTCTTCGCTGGTAATCCCCTAGTGGTGGTAGGTAAGGGTGGGATAAAAGAGCCTCCAGTAGTTTAAATAAATTAGCCCAGGGACAGAAATGGCAGAGTAAGAAGGCATAATGATTCATTTTTCATTCATTTACAACTACTTTCTAAGAATTTCAATGCACAGGATGCAGCACTCCAGAAAGGGTAGAATTAGTACTTCCTGCCTAAGATGCGCTGGCAGCAGCGGGGAGAACATTCTCACTGGCCCAGAGGCCCCTGGAACACAGCGTCTACCTTTCTTCTATTCCACCCACTCACTGCCTCTGTCTCTCTCTCTCATTGACTCCAGTCATCTCTGTGATTTCTTTGCCAGTCCTATCCCTTGTTCTAATGAAGAGCAGTTCTACTGTCCTTTAGATATGAAGAGGGGATATGTTTACTTAGTATTACTAAACCAAGACGGTTTTACTCCAGTGTATATTTGTTGTGAAAGGGCTTAAGTGTGTGTGTTATTAGTTAATACAAGCAAAAACTTGTCTGGAAGCCACATAAATAACTGGGAAGGAAGCCTGGAAGTTGAGGGAAAAGAGAGAAAAAATGATCTTTGAAATGTTTTATTATTTGAAAGATTATCCTAAAATTGCAACGGTTTATTTTAAGCAGCGTGTGGAGGGAACCACCTAATTACTGTGAGGGGTTGAAATGAGTGAAGAGTCACGCTGCACTGGACTGTACTTAAATCTTACCACAGTCAATATATCTATGGGACAAGGAGGAATGCTAGCCCCAAGCAAAGAAAATAAAACAAAGAAACAAATGCCTCCTCTGCAAGTAAGCTCTGCAGAGAAGTTCCAAGAATTCAGGGGTTCTCTTAATGTAGAAACAAAAGGCGACCGGCCAGAAAGGAGAACGCCTAACAGGGACCTTCTTACCCCCTAGCCAGGTGTCTGAGACGTTCTGGAGCATTGTGACCGGGATGCAGAAGAAGACGATGAGCAGGTCGCTGAGTGCCAGGGAGCAGATGAAGATGTTGGTGACAGTGCGCATGGCCTTGCTGCGGGTCACCACATAGACTACCAGGGCGTTGCCGAAAAGCGCCAAGGCGAAGATGAGCAGGCCGGTGAGCAGGAGGGCTAGCCTGGCAGGAGCGGGCAGCTGCGGGGTGAGCACCAGTGGCCGCAGCCCATAGCGCGCGATGAATTGCGCGCGCGTCAGGTTGTGTAGCCGGAGCAGCGCCGAGAGCTGCTCCGCGGTCAAGTTCCACGACATGCCGGGCTTGGGAGCCGCTTTGTCCCCGCGTGGGGCCGTCCAAGGTCCGGTAGGTATAGGAGAGAAGCCAGAAGCCGTGCCGCGGTGAGAGCAGCGCGAGAAAGGCTAGCAGTGACCAAAGCAAAGTCAGAGCCGCCAAACTGTTTGCAGTTTTAAGAAAGTTCCCAGCCAGACGCTGCAGTCCTCATAAACCTCACAGCGCCACGCGAGGCTCACTGTCCAGTTTTCTGGACCTTAGTGGAGCTGAACCCCGCCCCTCCGCGCACTCCCCAGCCCCTGGAGGGCCGCCTCCTCCAGCAAAGCACCCAGCACGGAGTGTCCTCCCTTGCTGGAGCCACCCAGAGCCAAGCTGTCCCAGTCCAGGCCGATGATGCCAAAACAAAAACTATCGTTGAGGGTTGGAAAGCCTCTTGGTTCTCCTCTTGTAAAATCATGTATGGCCACAACTACCCATGGTAAAATGGAGTTTTAGTCTTTTCAACATTGAAATAATAATTACAGAAGAGAAGTTGCAGTCATAAAAGAGGGTCTTAGGCATACACTGTTTTCTCTGTTGTGTCTTAACTGTACACAGTACAAACCTAAAAATTTGCCATAGATGCTGTGTGTGTGTGTGTGTGTGTGTGTGTGCAAACCAAAGAAAAGGGGGATGGAATGGAGTGAGGAGAGAGAGAGAAGAGGGAGAGGAGAGACTGAGACTGAGACTAAACAGGACCAGATTCCTAAACTGGCATCTAAATCAAGATACAAAACACCACCCAAATCTCACTCTGGGACTTCCTCATGGTCATATGCCTCCCTCCATCATCTCTAACCTCTCGTCATCTCTGCACATCTGTCAAGAGTATAATATCAACACAATCAGTGTGTATGTGATCTCCTTCCCCTTGACACAACATACTATAAACCTATACACGTTGTGAGGTGTTTTGTAAATCTACCCAAGTTGTGAGGTATATTGTAAATCTATCCAAGTTGTGGGATGTGTGGCTGACATATACTGGTTTATTTAACTATTCATTCCTTGTAAAAGAGTTGGGGTGTCTCCAGCTTTGGGCTATGAAACTGCTCTGAAGAAACATGAACTGGTTTCTGCATGGCTATAGTCTGCACTTTAGTTATGGGAAGCAGCCAGAAGTTTGTCTAGTCTGTGATGTTGTTCTGGCTAATTGTCTTGTTTTGTTTTGTTTTGTTTTGTTTTGTTTTGTTTTGTTTTGTTTTATCAGCTTAGCACAAGGTAAGAGTTTCTTATCACCTTAGCACAAGAGAAGAGGAAACCACAGTTGAGAAAATTCGTACATCGCTTAGCCTACGGGCAGGTCTGGGGAGTATTTACTTGATTAAAGACTGATGTGGGAGAGCCCAGCTCTCTGTGGGCAGTGCTGCACAGGCAGGCGATTCTGGACAACATAGGAAATCAGGCTGAGCAATCCATGAGTGAGCAAGCCAGTGAGCAGTACTGCTTCATGCCCTTGTACCTGCTTCTGCCTTCAGGCTTCTGCCTTGAGTTCTGGTCCTGGCTTCCCTCGGTGAGGGAATGTGACCTCACCGTTGTGAGATAAAATAAACCCCTCTCTCCCCAAGTTGCTTTTGGTTTTATACCTACTGGGGTGATTCTGGACCATTGAAATGGGGATTGCCACTTGTGCTCTAGCCTCATGAAAACAGGCTAAGAAGAAACCCAGACGGAAGCTCTGGGACCCTATAGTTTAAAATTTTAATGCTACTGTAATACACACACACACATGTACACACACACACACACACAGAGAGAGAGAGAGAGAGAGAGAGAGAGAGAGAGAGAGAGAGAGAGA